CCTGCTGACTCTTCTTTGAGGATGACTGAGACATCTCCAGACTACCCTCCTGCTAACTTGCAAGTGGATAGCAACATCGATGCTGTCCCCTGAGCTTTCATCCTTTATGATGACCCATGGATGTAACCTTTTCATTCAGGCAATTTTTAAGTGGCTTTAGTGCAGCCACAAACATTTTTTTCTGACGGCAGTCAGACAGAAACTGCAATACATCCCTACAGCGGGGTTCAGTTTATCTTATCCATTCTCCCTTATTTGTCAGTGTGCTCCTAACATCGTCCAGGGTAATTCTTGGCAAGCACATCCAGATTCCCACAGCTTTGTCTGACCCATCCATTAACACATAAGCAGCTCTCATTCAACATATGTGCATGTAAGTAACTTTCTGCTCGGGCACTTATATCCAGCTGCTACATGACAGAGCTCAGTGACTTACCATGACGCTGGACTGGGTTCCCATCTAGAATGGAGCTTCTCAAGACGTCACTGCAGAGGTTAATTGTGCCTCCCCGAAGCAATGCATGCACTCTTCTATCACTCCTGGTTATTGCATTCCAGAAGGGGACAAGTTGTACCCTCTTCCAGATTGTACTAAGCTGCTTTTTTATGAAAAAAAAAAAAAGGAGACGTTTGTTTACATATGAGTTGCCTTATTAGATTAGGAATTGGAGTGCCCTGTTGATCCTGCTCTGGCAGGGGGATTGGACTAGATGATCTTCTGAGGTCCCTTCCAATCCCTAGCATACTGTGATAATGTGATAGCCAACAAGCCTGCAAATCTCACCTAACACCAAATAACAGCACAAGGCAAGCCTATCTGTGCATTTATACTAACCTAAACCACTTCAAAACCTGCAGAGTTTTACCAAATTAGGTTGATTTATGGTATGGTGGACTAATTCTGAATAAAACATTTGAGAAATAGAAAATAAGTAATTGACCTTTCAGGAATACAATCTTTCCTGAACTTAGAAATAAAGTCATTAATCACTGAGGTTTCAGTATACTTGAGGTCTATTCACGATCTTATCCTTATATGAATGGATACTTAATTATCACTGGCTTCATTAAATTTAACTGCATGTATAAATATTGTGCTAAATTTCAACCCGGTGCTAATTCTCCATTCAAAAGACTGAAAAGCGGGCACAAACTACTACTAAATCAAAATGGTAGGGTCCTAACACTCCTTTTGCATTATAATTTCCTACCTGGGGTCTGAATGAAGGGTAATCAAATCTGTAGATTATAAATAAATTTCTATTGTAACTTCAAGCAAATGTTAATAATACAAGTCAATAACAGAGAGAGACTTACTTATCCCTCTGCAATGGAAAATGTAGCCCCTATTCCTCTGAGAGTTTCTGTGTTCGTGACAATTTTGCTGTGAGGTACTGAATTCTTCTAGTTTGCCATCTTGGGGTCAGACCTACTAACTCCCAATGGGATATAATTAGAGATGGCCCAAGGAGCTGGAGAAGACATTGCAGATAATCCAGTCTGACAATATGCTGAGGAGGGCAGCAACACAGAAGCACTGCAGGTGGAGTTCAGAATATTTGGTGGGAATTTATTAGTCAATTAAGCAGCCAGATGATGGCTTTGGATTTCAGTGATTAGCCATAGTCATGACATCCCATAACCTTTGTGCTTTTCATACAGTTCATGCATGAATATTTAGAAATAAACCTTTGATTTAGGTAGACTCTGTTTTATCTCAGCTCGGTTTTGTAAGTGTTGAGAGATGACAACCTTAGCTGAAATCCATCAGTATAGCAGGTGCATGGTATCTATGGAAATCAGTCTCTCTATGAAATATTAAAGATATAGTCAGGACTTGACTAGAAATAATTTAACAAGAAGACCTCTATTCCCTTTTATCCTTTTGTATATATTAAAATTAATTTCACACAAGGTAAACTGAATGCCACTGAATTCCCGAACTCTACGTATGTGTCAGCATTAAAAAAAATGTGTTCCTCCTCCTTTCTTCTTCATTCTCCCCCACTTTTTCATACACCTCTTCTTCTCACCTTGAAAACTAGAGTCCAAGTGATTTGAGCTGCAGGCTGATAAGGAGATTTATCTAGGAAGAAGTGGATGCATTTTCAGAATCAATAAATTGTTTTGTAAACATATTTGGTGCCAAACAATAGGAAATAACACAACATCAATGTATTTTTAATGTACTTGTACCGTCTGGACATTTTTCAGGATTCCTTCCCACGCTTGCAGGACTGAGAAAAGGAATGTTTGTTTTCTCTTCTCTCACTCCTACTGACTCAAAATAGCTTCAGAAAAATCACTCAGATGTTTGCTTATTAAGTATACTTAATGGGCAGTAGTTGCAACCTGATTCTTTAGTGTGTCTGAAAAAGAAAATCCTTTGGACTAATGACATTGAACTTATAGGGTTTTTAGTCAACTTCCTTCGTAAAGCTGTGTCACAGTTTAATTTCATACCCACTGTGAAATCTCAAACAAATGGAAATAATGTCTTGTATCCATGGTAACAAATGAGATAGACTTTACCTGATTTGGAGATGGAAATTGAATTAACTTGTCACTGCTGCATAGGTGGTATTGCCTTCAATTTATTTCTATATGAGAACACACATACCAAGCAGATCACTTTTTGCATGGCTCTGTTTTTCCAGCAGTGTTTGGTGTTCTCTAACAAAGCTTGTGATCACAAGGAAGGATGTTTTAGTTGTAACTATTTTTACAGTACTTCATAGCACAGCTGTAAGAATTTTTTTATTCTTGTCTCTCTATCTGAAATGTTTTACCAGATACATGACTATAGATAATGCGGGAGATACCACATAGTAGTGTTGCTTAATGCCTGCCATTATAACACTTAGTTTTGAGTGGGTATATAATTTCTCCAACTTTTAACTCTTTGGGTTAGTATATTGCATACAGAGTAGCAAGCAAAATTCTCTTGAAAAAAATCTTATCCAACGAAGGATGAAAACTATGCTTTTCTTGTTTGCTGGCCACCAAAAAAAATTCTTATGGAAATGCACTTGCCACCTTCATGCTTTGAGTAGGGACTCAGAATTTGACAGTGAGTCGCTATTGAGTTAATGATGTGGTTTCCATATCCTCTATATAATCTCCCTGAAATTGATAGTGGCACAAGCCTTTGAAAAGTGTCAGTTTGCCACATAGGAGATGGCACTCATTAGCACATATCCAAGTAAATGTTAGATTTTTACTGGTCATTTGGGGTTCATGAACCACCTCCACAGCACAGCCATAGCTGCAATGTTTTACTTTTCAGGTTAATCCTAAGTGTACAGAGAACACCTCTCTAGCGTGGCTCTAATTGAGCAAGTTAGTTCCATCTTTTCATCAGGCTTAATTAGCCAAGGTATGGGGCCACACTTGCACAGCTGTACAGATTTCTGAACTGGTTAATTTGCCAATAGACTGGTAATTCTGCACGGTGGTTTACTGCATCATGTAAATGTATGATAACATTCTTTGCTCTCACAACTCCCTGAGCATGATGGGCTGAATTTAAGCTGCTGCAGGCAAGAGTGTCATCCAGAAATTCCTGTTTAAACCATGCTTCTACCTATGTTTTATGGAGGAAATAGACACAAGTATCTACAGTTTTACTATTGCAAATGCTGGAGTGCGTCTGGGACATCAAAGAGGCACCTCATTGCCTCAGTCCTCTGGGGCTTTTTAGCTGAGCATGGGTTCATTCTACTAACGCACAGTGAAAGCACAAGCTCCTCTTCATTGGCTGTGATGCATTAAAACCTAGCCATGGGTTACTGCATGAGCAGAGGATGCAGAGGGTGTGCCTCTCCTAAAATTATTGCTCAGGTTGGAAAGGAAAAACAGTAGGAACAGCCACAGGTCATGTCACAGATAGGAGTGACATAAAGGCTGATGCACTGCTGTGGGTGCCACCAACTCTGTTGGCTCAGGATGTCACAGAAAGGGACTGAGTGTATTCTGGCCCTGTTGATGACCCATATGCATGTCACTGATGCACCGTGATCAAAGTCCTCTTTAGTCCTGTGTTCTTTTTCCCCCCCAAACAGTATCAGTTTCACTCAAATAGCAACGCAGATTGCAGACTTGAGCACGCAGAAGCCAGGAATTGCCAGAAGTACCGCCTGTGTATTTTGCTTCGTATACGTCAGAGACCCTTGCCTGTTCAGTGCAGCAGAGAGAGAGTACACAGTTAATCATCACCGATTCAATACCTTCTTGTCCTTGCTGTTCAGTATGCAACCCAAGGCCTTACTGCAAAGGCCACATTGCTCCTGACATTTCCTACCAACAGAGGACTAGCCTTTGCAGTTTACTAATCATTTAGCATGTAAAATAAATAGCACATGCGTCTGAGACTTAGACACCTCTTTTTAAAGGGTTCGGAGAGATGCCGGGTGACTAGCAATCAATTCAGGTTTCTAGTGTTCATACAGGGAAGGACAGTTTGGTCTGTGATATAGAATCATAGAATTGTCAGGGTTGGAAGGGACCTTAAAGATCATCTAGTTCCAACCCCCCTGCCATGGGCAGGGACATCGC